TATAAAGGCCAACAGTTGCATCTTGAGGCCAACCAGCAGGTTGTGAAGGCCAACAATTGCATCTTGAGGCCAACCAGTAGGTTGCCAAGGCCAATAGTTGCATCTCGAGGCCAACCAGTAGGTTGTGAAGGCCAGCAATTGCATCTTGAGGCCAACCAGTAGGTTGCCAAGGCCAATAGTTGCATCTTGAGGCCAACCAGCAGGTTGTGAAGGCCAGCAATTGAATCTCAAGGCCAGCCAGTAGGTTGCCAAGGCCAATAGTTGCATCTTGAGGACAACCAGTAGGTAGTGAAGGCCAACAGTTGCATCTTGAGGCCAACCAGCAGGTTATAAAGGCCAACAGTTGCATCTTGAGGCCAACCAGCAGGTTGTGAAGGCCAGCAATTGAATTTCAAGGCCAGCCAGTAGGTTGCCAAAGCCAATAGTTGCATCTCAAGGCCAACCAGCAGGTTGTAAAGGCCAACAGTTGCATCTTGAGGCCAACCAGTAGATTGTGAAGGCCAACAGTTGCATCTTGAGGCCAACCAGTAGGTTGTGAAGGCCAGTGGGTAGATCTTGAGGCCAACCAGTAGGTTGCCAAGGCCAACAGTTGCATCTTGAGGCCAGTGGGTGGATCTTGAGGCCAAAGGGTAGCCCTTGAGGTCAATAGATGGGCCACAGGGCCACTAAATGAGGCAGGAAGGCCAGCATAAAGGTTAAAAGACCAATATATGGGCTGTAAAGGCCAACACACCGAGCACCCTCAGCAGAGCACTGGTTTTCTCTCATCGTTGTCCCCCGCCATCAAACTGATGCCGGGATCAACTGATTTTTGTGACCTCATCTAGGGGAAGGGGGGGGGTCTCAACCAATGATGCACCCGACCTTATTGCTGGTGGAGCCGTAATAAGCCACGTGATCCCAGGTGGCCACGAAAGCCCACGTGGCAGTGAAGGGGATACTGGGGAAATACTGGTTGATGTTTTGGGTGATGAGTTTGAGCAGCGCCGGGTCGGTGGTCTGGCGGTAGTAGATCTCCCCACCCAACACGTTGTCCACATCTCCCCAATATGGTGTCACAAAGGGACGGCCATCGGCGAGGGGGAAGGGGTCTGGGGTGTATTGTTTGACCTGGGTGTCGAAGGAGATCACGCCGTTGTTGTTCACCTGCAAAAGGCAACGGGTTGAGGCAGAGCCCTACAGTGGAACCCAAACACGGGGTCAACTCCTTGACTTGGTCGTGGGTCAACCCAAAGAATTTCTGTGATTCTACGAAGACCCGGATACGCCCTCGCCCACGAGTAGGATTTTAGTGTAGACTTCTGATGGATTTATGAGGATAGATATAAATTTATACGACTGTATTGGAAGCATTTAGATCCCCACTTCATCCAGAAGAAGGGGGGAAGAGGAAAAGAGCACACCTAAACTTGTCCACCCACCTCCCAGCCTCCGTACCAGAAGACTGAAGTCCCCTCCAAGACCTCCTACCCTTATGAGAATGCTTTAATACACCAAAAAAAAAAAAAAAAAAAAAAAAGCTTGATAGGGAAACTGAGTCAATCCTATATAAAGGTTGACTTTGGGGTTGTAGTGGGCAAAATAGACTGAAAGAGGGAGTGAGAAGAAAAGGGGAGGGAAAGATGGAAAATTCTCACGTACGTAAAGGGTTCGGTACTCTTTGCCATAGAAAGTGAAGGGCACGGAGAGGGGCAGCCTCTTGGATGTCCCATCATCCAGTTTGGGGTTTTTACGGTCACCTTGGTCCAGACCGTAGGGATAAAGCAGGGCTGTTGTAGAAAAGCAGAGGGTGAGATGTTAGGGGACCCCAAAATCTCAGCAGATCGACCCGCCATGCATTTTGGGGTAAAGCCCACCAAGTTTGGGATTCCTTCTCCTATATCCATGAGGAAGCTCCAAACCAGAGCCAAAATAATCCCAATCTTGGGTAGGAAAATCATTTATTAGGGCAAAACCAATGACCCAGGTATTCATAATTTGGGATTCCTTCCAAAAAAATACATTGGATTCCCATATCTCCGCTTGGAAGATTCAAACCAGAGGGAAATAACCCCAAATTTGGGTAAGAATATGATTTATTAGACCAAAATCAATGGCCCAGGTACTCATAGTTTGGGATTCCTTCCAAAAAAAATACATTGGATTCCCATATCTCCACCTGGAAGATCCAAACATGAGGGAAATAACCCCAAATTTGGGTAAGAAGATGATTTATTATCCCAAAATCAATGGCCCAGGTACTCGTTGGATTCCCATAGCTCCACAACGAGGATCCAAACTAGAGGGAAATAACCCCAATTTTGGGTGGGAAAATCATTTTTTAGGGCAAAACCAATGGCCCAGGTACTGACCTTCAGGTGTTGGTTCGATGTTTGTCACCATTCCTGCAGAGGAGATACAGGGAAATATTAATTCCTGAGCAATCAGACCCCCCATTTCCTTCACCCTTCACCCACCTGACATGAGGAGGAGGAAAGCAAAGGAGGATTTCATCCCGATTCCTGCAAAAGTGGTTAAAAAAAATGCTTTAAATTTCATGAAGGAAAGAAAGAAAGAAAGAAAGAAAGTAAGAAAGAGAGAAAGAGAGAAAGAAAGAAGGAAAGAAAAAGAAAGAAGGAAAGAAAAAGAAAGAAGGAAAGAAAAAGAAAGAAGGAAAGAAGGAAAGGAGGAAAGAAGGAAGGAAAGAATGAAGGAAAGAATGTAGTAAAGAAAGAAGGAAAGAAAGAAGGAAAGAAAGAAAGAAAAAAGAAGGAAAGAGAGAAAGAAGGAAGGAAAGAAAGAAGGAAAGAAGGAAGGAAGGAAAGGAGGAAAGAAGGAAGGAAAGAATGAAGGAAAGAATGTAGTAAAGAAAGAAGGAAAGAAAGAAGGAAAGAAAGAAAGAAAAAAGAAGGAAAGAAAGAAAGAAAAAAGAAGGAAAGAAAGAAAGAGAGAGAAAGAAAGAGAGAAAGAAAGAGAGAAAGAAAGAAAAACACATTAAATCTGGACCAGAATGACCCTTTTTTGCCCCAAATCTGCTTCTTCCCCCCCCACCCCCCCTCCACCCCGCTTTCCTCTGGGGGTGTTTTTGCTCAATCCCTGCAATTTTAAGCAGTTTGAATGGGGGGGGGGAGGAGAGGATTCCTACCTTGTCCTCTCGTTTTGTCCCAATTTCACCGTGAAAAGACCAAAAAATAGGAGAAAAGTGGCACCGATGAGAGCTCAGCTGCAAAGAAATGGGGCTCCCAACCCATTCTGAGCCTCCTTATAACACACATCCTCTCTTCTAAAAAAAAAAAATATAAATAAATATTTGATTTGGGGGTAAAAAAAAAAAAAAAAAAAAAAAAAGCAGAAATGCAATGAATTATGCTGACCTCCTGCTACCCCCGGAGCTGAAATCCCAAATGGGAGCTCAGAGGAAAGGCGAATTTGGGGTCACGGCGACGTTTGGTTTCTGCAGAAATCCCAATTTGGGTTTTGGCGAAGTGAGGGGTGCAAAACCCAGATGGGTTTTGTCAAAAAAAAAAAGCAGAAAAGCAGAAAAACAGAAAAACAAAACACGTTTGTTTTGGAGGGGTTGCGGGGCTGCAGACGGAGCTGATGGGCCACAAGCATTGAAATTAGGGGGGGGGGAGAGGGGGGGAATGAGGAAGAATGTGAACGGGGGTGGCTGCAAATCCTATTTAACCTACTGTAAATTTCCACGCAGATCTGCACCCATTGCAATGGACCCTATAGGTTTGCACCCATTGCAAGGTATCCTAAAGACCTGCACCCAATGCAACTTCACCTCCACATCTGCACCCATTGCAACTTCACCTCCACATCTGCACCCATTGCAACTTCACCTCCACATCTGCACCCATTGCAATGCCACCCGAATCTCAGCATCCATTGCAACTTCACCTCCACATCTGCACCCATTGCAATTTCACCTCCACATCTGCACCCATTGCAACTTCACCTCCAGATCTGCTCCCATTGCAACTTCACCTCCACATCTGCACCCATTGCAATGTACCCTATAAGTTTGCACTCGTTGCAACGTCACCTCCAGATCTGCACCCATTGCAACGTCACCTCCACGTCTGCACCCATTGCAACTTCACCTCCACATTTGCACCCATTGCAACTTCACCTCCACATCTGCACCCATTGCAACTTCACCTCCACATCTGCACCCACTGCAACTTCGCCTCCACATCTGCACCCATTGCAACTTCACCTGCAGATCTGCGCCCATTGCAACTTCACCTCCAGATCTGCACCCATTGCAACTTCACCTCCACATCTGCTCCCATTGCAACTTCACCTTCAGATTTGCACCCATTGCAAATTCACCTGAATCTCAGCACCCATTGCAACTTCACCTCCACATCTGCACCCATTGCACCTTTACCTCCACATCTGCACCCATTGCAACTTCACCTGCAGATCTGCTCCCATTGCAACTTCACCTCCAGATCTGCTCCCATTGCAACTTCACCTCCAGATCTGTTCCCATTGCAACTTCACCTGAATCTCAGCACCCATTGCAACTTCACCTTCAGATCTGCACCCATTGCAACTTCACCTGCAGATCTGCACCCATTGCAATGCCACCTGAATCTCTGCCCCCATTCCGATGTACCCCACAGCTTTGCCCCCCTCCACAACAAGCATTTTGCTCAGGAACTTCAGCAAAGGAGGGGAAGCAGCTGCAACGTCTCACATCCTGGCTCCCCTCCTGGTTCTGCACATCCCAATTCTTCGGAACCCCGGAGAAGTTTTGCAACTTGACCTCCTCGTTTCTCCCCCCCGAGGGTTCAGCACCTCCTGCCCTCATCCCCCCCTGCACAAAATTCTCCAGAATCAGCCAAAATTGGCCTTTGAAAAAAAAAAAATATATTTTTGGAGCCGACTCCTTTCCCCCTTTGCCCTGGGTGAGGAAATTCACAGGAAACCACATTTGGTTATAAAAAGGGCAGATTTAGGGTCCGACTTTGCATTCCCCCCACCCCACCCCCTCCTCTCCTCCTCCTCAGGTTTTAGCAAAGAGCTGCTCTGAGGAACGGAATCGGTGGTAAGCAGTGAATTCATAGGGGGTTTGGGGGCTTTTTGGGCTTCAAAGTATTTTATTTCTTCTTTTAATTCTCTTTTTGGGTCTGGTGGGATCTCACAATGTGTCCCCCCCTACCTGTGCAAAATGAGGTTGGGTGGTTCCTCCAGATATAAAACAGGGGATCCAGCTGGGTTAAATTAAGCTTTAAATTGGGGAAAAAAAGGGTTTTCTGCCTCAAAAAATCCAAGCCAAGCCCCATCTCTCTCAGCTGGGGGGGTGAGATGGGTGATAAACCCCAAAGATCTGTGATGTTCCACCCCAAAAATGTTGAGACCAACAGGTATTGGGGAGGGTGGGGAGCTCAGTCCTAAAAATATGGGGTTCTAAAAACCCCCAAAAATGGGTTTCTAAACCCAACGGGGTTGGGGCTGCAAAGTGTCAGGTATGAAACCCTGAAGATTTTGGGGGGGGGGGGGGGTTGAACCCAAAAAATGGGGGGGGGAAATCCAAAGGATGTGGAATGTTAGAACCGAAACGTTGGGTGGTAAAATCAAGAGTTTTGGGTCAAAAAAAAAAACCAAAAAACACCAAAATAGGAGGTGGCAGAAAAAAAAAATTCGGGGTGTTAAACTACAAAAATATCGGGGGGACAAAAAAAAAAAATGAAAATGTGGGGTTCTGAATTCCAAAGGTTTGGCTGTTAAACCCTAAAAATATTGGGGTGAAAACCCCCAAAATGTGGGGCATTGAACCCAAAATATTGGCTTGATAAACCCCAAGGATGTGGGGTACAACATTGTAAAGGTTTGGGGTGCCAAATTCTAAAGATTTTAGGGTGCTTTACCCCAAAATTTTGGGGTGCTGAGCCTTACAGAAAAAGGATTCTAAAGACCCAAAGTTTTGGGGTGAAACCCCTCAAATTCTGGGATGTTAAACCCTAAATTTGGTGTTTTCAAACCCAAAAATATGGGGTGTAAAACACTAAAGATATGGGGTGCCATGCTGAGGATTTTAGGGTGTTTTACCCCAAAATTTTGGGGTGCTGAGCCTTACAGAAAGGGGATCCTAAAGATCCGAAGTTTTGGGGTGAAACTTCCCGAATTCTGGGATGTTAAACCCCAAATTTGGTGTTTTCAACCCAAAAGATATGGGACCGGAAACCCTAAAGATATGGGGAGCCATGCTGAGGATTTTAGGGTGTTTTACCCCAAAATTTTGGGGTGCTGAGCCTTTCAGAAAGGGGATCCTAAAGACGCGAAGTTTTGGGGTGAAATCCCTCAAATTCTGGGATGTTAAACCCCAAATTTGGTGTTTTCAACCCCAAAAATATGGGGTGTAAAGCACTAAAGATATGGGGTGCCAAATTCTTATGATTTTAGGCTGCTTCACCCCAAACTTATGGGGTGCTGAAGCCTTACAGAAAGGGGATCCTAAAGACCCGAAGTTTTGGGGTGAAACCCCTCAAATTCTGGGATGTTAAACCCCAAATTTGGTGTTTTCAACCCAAAAGATATGGGACCGGAAACCCTAAAGATATGGGGAGCCATGCTGAGGATTTTAGGGTGTTTTACCCCAAAATTTTGGGGTGCTGAGCCTTTCAGAAAGGGGATCCTAAAGACCCGATGTTTTGGGGTGAAATCCCTCAAATTCTGGGATGTTAAACCCCAAATTTGGTGTTTTCAACCCAAAAGATGT